CCTCATCTACATAAGCAGTAACCTTTACAAAGAAGGTCAAAAAATTTGCAAGGCAAGATTTTCCCTAAGTGAAACCATGTTGACTATCCAATAAAATTCTAAACTTTGTTAAATGATTTTGCAAAGCATCTTTTAACAGACTTTCCAAAACTTTTCCCACAACTGATGTAAGACTAATGGGTCTATAATTACTGGGACAATGTTTATCCCTTCCCTTGAAAAGAGGAGTTACATTAGCTAACTTCCAATCCTTTGGTACATGCCCACTATTCAAGGACTGACAAAAAATAGTAGCAAGTGAGGAAATATTATCTGGCCCAGGAGCCTTATCATTAATTAACTTCCCAATTTCTTCTTAATAAGCTCAGAATGTTTAAATATATTATTTACCTCTAAAGCCACAAGATAGTTTGCAAGTTTCCTCACTAAAGGTTCATACTGTACAGTACGCAGATTGGCATCACAAACAAAACACAAGTTGAAAATCAACCGGTTTCTTGCATACTTTGGGTTGTCAATTCCAACAGGATAACCAATAATTTTATAACCCAATGCATTTCTGTAAAAAAAGAACTATAATTATTACAAAATGGAAATAATAATGATCAAATAAGAATGGCTTTGAGTTGCTCACACCTTATACACACCTTAAATAAACAGAAACGCAAGTATTATTAGTATAGTGCCCAAAATATTGTTAACAACAAGGGTATCCAGCTGATGAAACAATGCATTCTAACCATTATAAGTAGGAAAATAAAATATATTTAATGATTAGAACGTTGAATTTTAGTTCTGTTCTAAGTAGTTAGAACTATGTATTTCTATTATTTTTATTTGCTTGATAAAGTTAAAATGCTCAGTTCTACAAACATACTTAAAAAAGATTAATTGACAGTAATTGTTTAGGTTGTAACATATTTACCATTCATCAATTTGCAAAACATTTCTTACAGTGTTCTTGAAATTAGCTTAACATGTGTAGTTAACTAATTCCCTTTATTACATTTTAACTGAACATGCATGGGGTCAGTACAACCCCTACTGAAGAAGGAATGTTGGCTATAATTCCATATCTACTAATGTATCTATACAAGATGTGACAAGCTTTCAGTAAAATGTACAAGTCTGTTCTACATAAAAAACCAGGTGTATTACAAAAGTATTTGTACTCAAAACTTGTATACGACTATGTCAGTCTCACTCAGACTCTGACAAGTTGGAGTGCAAGGTGATGTTCATATGAAAAATAAAAATACTTTATTGTCCATTGTACAGTTTACATATTGCATTTGAGTAACTTCTAAAATCTCTGAAATGCATATCTTCAGTTTGTTTCAGTATCCCTGTATCTTGTATCTGATAGTTACTCTCCTCTACCATGAGCTGTTGCTACATCAGCATTGTAAGATAAAATGAATAGTTTATAACCTAGGTCAAATACATAATACCATGTTCAATGGCACTTTGTAAAAGGTCATGATATGCATGATTTTACCCTCACCTGTGCACATTGGATTAATACTTAAAGCATTGTTGTCCTTGTTTCAAATATTTAAACATTAATTTCTTCTGCCCATCATTTCAATCCCAAAAAAAGTGTCCAAATATTTTTGAGCAAGTTAATGCAGTTTCAATTTACTTGTTTATTTAGGCCCAACTTAATGATGTTTCACTTTACAGAACATACTGTTCAGTTAATTTTCTAAAGACCAATAATCAATTAATCAAACTTACTTTAGGCCCTTAAAAATGCAATTATACATTTTAACTATTAAGCACCGAGTCTTCTATTTTTTCATTGGATTTTAAATTTATCTTCAAACCTGGTAGACTTACTCCTGAAATACTATAATTCTTTTCTTGTAAAGTAATTTTTGCTCTGTCAACTGCACCACTTCTGAACCAGGTATACTCTTCGCCCATCCATGAAATGTGTAGTAGATAAGGGTGGAAAAAGAGAGGAGCACATCCAAGTGGGAGAGAGCTGTGGCAAGATAGTGATCCTAACCATGTAAATATATATGTAACTCAATCCCACAAAGTATAAAAGTGGGTAAAACAATGGATGTGACCCTAGGTGTAGAGTGGCTAGGGCACAATGGACCATACTCAGTATCTCAATTACATACAAAACCCATGCCACTGGGAACTGACATCCTCGTGAGGGTAGGATGAAGATCATACCATCTTCACCTCAAGTTCAAGAGACTGGTGGGAGTCTAGAACCACTCTGACTCCTGAGCATGACACACATTAGCTTTGATCCATCCATCCAGGGACCCAACATCTGGTATAGAAAGGATATCAATATAATATAAATTAACTACCCAAAACTGACAAAACTAACAGGAACCATACTGAAAAGCGAATAGCATCCTGTAACAAGATACAATGGGGATAG